GTGCACTGTTGCAGCCAAGCTTCCTCCTCCTGAATTTCAGGGAAGTAGATCTCTGTGTAGTTGTGGATGATCTGCAACTTCTGCTGGTCCAGTTCCTGCTTGCCGCCATCGCTGTAGCAGCTGTACTGCTCACCCAGTTTCTGGCGGTCAAAGAACTTGGGAAAGAGCCAGTGGAAGAGGAAGACAGCAAATACTCCCGGCAACAAGGCTTTGTCCAGGAACTCAATTAGGTCCTGTGTGTCTACCACGTGGCAGAGGCAATGGTGCTGCTCCTGTCCAGAGAAGGACCTCTTCCTGGTCTTTGTTATCCAAGAAGTGGCTGGTGTCCACTTGCTTAGCTTCAAAAAAGCTGGGGACCTGGCCTGGCTTGCTGTCCCCCATTTCCCGCTGGGCCCAGAAGTGGCTGAAGAAGTCATTTAGCTGCAGCACTCAGCCTGCCACACTGCTGTGTACTTCGCAGAGGGGTAGTAGAACTCCACATAGTTTCCGATAAGCTGCAGGTGCGGTGACTCCAGTTTCTGCTTGGCAGCAAAGCCGCAGGCACTGCAGCCTCAGGAGAAGTCCATGTCACTGAAGAGCTTGGGGAAGAGCTGCACCAGCAGCCAACAGGCTAAGTCACTGCCCAACAGGCTCTGGTCCACGATTTGCTTGAGTTCATCGGTGGTCAGCTGGTACTTGGGGGGTGGCTGGAATTTGGCCACCAGCTCAGAGGGGCTCACCTGCTTCTTGATGTGGCTCACCTCCAGGGAGAGCAGGTACACCTTGCTATGCAGCTGGGACATGTTGGACATGAGTGTGTTGAGCATGTAGAACATCTTCTGGATCAGGAAGTAGATATTGGGGTCACCATCAGTGGCCACCCTGGTGCTACTGCAGTCCAGCTTCTGAGGCTTGTTCAGCAGGCACAGTAGGGAGGAGCTGTTGCTGGGGTTCGGCTTCTCAAAGACCTCGTAGGTGTGGAGCAGGTCCCCCAAGGGCAGGTTCTTCTCCATGATCTTGTGGGAGATGCCATAGAGAGGCATCTTGTAGGAAGGGGTAGTTATGTCATTGCAGGGCTCCTCCTTGCCCAGTCATGCAGAGCCCACATTCCTGCCCCTGCCAGCCGGTTTCTCCATTGCCCTGGCAGGTTGAACTGTTCTCCTGGTTCCACATGCCTGCCAGCAGCACCTCGGGTATCAGCCGCCTCCTCGTCACACTGGCAACACTGGCTGGCTGGCCATCGCTGCCCAGCTGCCAGCCCTTGCTGGAGACTTGGAGGGTGGTGAAGACGCTATCTAGAGGGTGCTCCTCCGAAGTCCTGGAGCTCAGTGAGCAGTCCAGAGCAGCATCCTCACTCTCAGCCTACTGCATGGGGCTATTTTGACAGTGCAGGGAGATGCTGTGTGCCAGTGGACATTTTGAACTCAAGATCACCCAATAAATGCTAGGGCAGGACTAAAAACTGCTGTACTCGGTGAAACACTAGTTTTCTCACTGATAATTTTTCATTCAGAATGTTGGAAATATAAGTTATAGCAATGAATATACTAGTTTTGGTATTGGGGATTGAACCTAAGGCCTTTACACTGAGCTACCTCCTCAATGTTATTTATTTGTTTTTATTCTGAAACAATCTCTTACTAAGTCATTAAGTTGCCCAGGCTGGGCTTGATACTTGTGATTCTCCTACTTCAGTCTCCAGAGCAGGTCTTATCTTCTCTGCTTTTTATCTTTGGAACATTAGCTCCAGCACAAGCTAAACTTCAGATTGCCTTGCCTGCCAGCAAGCAGCTCCTGTGCTCCAAATGTAGAACATAGTATAAAGTGGAATGGCATGGATACAGGCCACTTTCTGTGAAGAGCGATTCAACGAGATGGATGGTTCTGTGGCACTCTCCACAGGCACCCATCTTTTAATTCATTTTTGCATTGCTTTCCATCCTGCTTGGCCCATGTCCAGATGCCCTTGCTCTGTAGTCCATCAGGGACGTGGTGCCGAGCAATATGGTCATTCTGGTGCTAGTAATAACTCAGCTGCTTATTTGCATATCTAAATGGTCATTTAAAAGAAAATATAGGGGAGGTCCTTTTTGGGCTACTGAGATATCCAATTAAGTATAGGAAGTGAGTACTTTCCATCACAAGTTCCAAGGACTTCAGGCTTTTCAGATTTTCATTAACTTTATTGATTCTTTTGTCAGTAAAGAAAGGAGATGACAAATTATTTTTAAATGGGTTTGGGAGGCAGAATTTTAAAGATCAAAAATTATAGAATGAGAATCATCTAAACTCCTGGGGCACCTGTCTTCTTTTCCCCTTGTCCCATGTAATAATTAAAGGAGAAAGAAAAGGTTTGACCACTGTGATGAGCGGCTGGCTGTGGCTGGTGGACACAGAATAGTGTACGCCACACAGATATCGACTCAGCTTCTACAGGAGCCCCAGCCTGAAACAAATCCTCTGACACTGGAAAGCGAAGAATGATACTTTTATTCTTTCTTAATTGTCAATGTAGGTAGATGGAAGTGACCTGAGTAATTCAAGTAGGAAATAATCGCCAAATCATGCGCATTTGCTTTCAGAAGATGATGTTTTTATACTTAGATATGAGTTGTTACAGCCCTGATCTCTCTCTCTCTGGGCCTCCAGACACATAAATCTAACTGCCTACAGGATATGTTGACCTGAAACTCTAATAAGCCTTTCAAACTCATTTTAGAGGAAATGGAACCCATTTCCATTGGGAAATGGAGCCCATTATCCACCCTCTACCTGACCCCACCCCATGTTCTTACCCTTGTCTCTAGATTGCCCCAGTGATGGCACCTTTAATTGCAAGTATCAAGGTGCCATGCCAGAATCTAGCTCTTCCTTACTCTTCCCTTCCCTAACAATGTTGATTGTCCATCCTTCCCCCAGTAGCTCTCAAATCTGCCCATTTCTCCACTGCCACTCCCTAATCAAGGTTTGCAGGCTCTCAGTCCCATCAGGACTGTGTAACAGCTTCATAGCTGTTCCAGCTTTTTTCCTGTAATCCACATCCCATGCTGCTATTAGGGCTCCTTCACACTTCACTGTCCAGCTTAGTGCCCTCTATCATCACCTTCTGTGCAGTGCACATTCCCTGAAACCTACATGCAGAGCTCTTCATGATCAGCCTATCCCACCTGCTTCCCAACCACAGTTCCTGAGATAGGCTCCAGAAGCACAACTGAGGTGCTTTCAGTGCCTGCCACACAATGGGGTGCCCCTCAGTTTTGTCCTGTGCTCACCCTGTTTGTGTCCCATTGGCTTTCACCTGGCTGATTCTTCCCTGAGTCAAGGCCCAATGCAGGGGTCACCTCCCCTGGGAAGCCTTCTCTGCTTCTCCTTCTCCACTCCCCAAAGGGTGGCTGAAGGACCTTCTTCTGTCTTTCCTGAAAAAGCCTCTGTTGTATCTCTAGATTTTTCAAAATTGTGATTCAATTGTGTGTATACCAAGTTGTACTGAAGTTGCATCTGTGCCCATGTCAGCTTCCCACACTAGCCTTTAAGTCACTTACTCTCCAGGACTACATTTTAATTATTTTTCCCTTTCTGTCACCTTGGATAGTGCCTGGCATGTGGCAGGTGCCCTGTAAATGTTGGTTGGATGTAACTGAAAAAGTGATTTCACTCTTCTGTACAAAGGGAAGTCATGGGATAGGGCCACAGATATGCCTCCAGGAAAGCTGATTCAGTCTTTGCCATCTCTGGAGCTGGTCTTGTCTTCAGCTTCTCCTGGCTCCACTCTGCAACCAGGCAGTAGCCTTTGTCCCTTCCTAATCCATGGAGCTGCAGCACCAAGAAGAGCAATCTCCTTCTCCAGGTGTACTTTTCACACCCTTCTTGGTGTATCACCTGAATGCTCAGAGGCAGAAAGCTACACAAAATCCAACTTACACTGGCTTGAATAATACAAAAGCTTTCTTGACTCAGGTTCTCAGGAAATCCAGAGACAAGGTGGAGATTGGGCAAGGCTCAGTCAAGCTCTACGTGTTTCCTGCAGTTGCCTTGACGCCACCCTTTCTCTGGGTTGGCTTCACTCCCAGACTTCCAGCAGAATGACTGCAGCAATGTGAGGCCAGCAATACACATGACAATATTAGAGGAATTAAAGGCACATTTAGAGAACTAGGGTTCTCTTTTTCCAGGAGTTTCCAACATACATCCCTAACATTTTATTGAACTCAATCAGATCACATTTTTATTTCTGAAAACACTCTGATGGTTGGGAAATACTGTACATTGACTGGGTTAGGTCTGGTGTCCTGAAGAGCTAGGAACACCCTGGAGCTGAGGTTCTGGTCAGCTTTCCTTGGAGTATGCAGGCTGCCTGGAGGAGGGGTAGATACCTAAAGGAAAACCAGTTTAGAGTTAGGAAGAGGAAATGGCTCAGTGCTCATTGTGCCAGCAGCAAGCAGCACTCTCTTCAAATCCCCCTCCTCTGGTTCCCATTGGGCAGTAGTATGAACCCTAGAAGTGCAAAGAAGTAGAGTTAGAAGTTGATTCTGTTCAGGATCAGTGCACCACTCTGTGTAGTTGAGTAGTATGCAAATTGGACAGGAGAATACAAGGATGCTCCTGTTGCTTTCTGTGAGTGATTCTCTCTAATACTAGTGCAGCAGAAAATGGGTTAGGCCTCCCTGATTACCCCTGACCATCTGTCCCAAAAGCAAGCATGGTGCCTTTTTGAGGATCTTTAAAGGTTTTTACAAAGGGCAGACATTCCAGGTAGTAAACAACTTCCTCTGCCATCTCCCTAATTCTGTCACTCATTTTCTCCTTTTTACTTAGAGGACTCAGGAACTGCTAGTGGATCTCTGTGCTAGAAATGAGACAGCTTCTGAGAAACCAGACTATGGCCCATCTTAGCTCTGAGAATGATGACTGGTTCTTACTGGGAACCTGCAAGTGGGATTTGTTTTCCTCGATTGTTCTGAATGTTTTGTTCTGTCAGACCCATGACACCTCTGATCACAATACTTTATTGTCCCTTCTAGATGTTTGACTGGATAAGCCACAACAAGGAATTATTTCTCCAGAGCCACACGGAGATTGGAGTCAGCTACCAGCATGCCCTAGACCTCCAGACACAGCACAATCACTTCGCCATGAACTCCATGGTAAGCAGAGGATCTATTCTCAACATGCCTGTGTGGCCTGATGGGGTGTGGGCTGGGCCAAAAAACGGAGGGGCATCCTGAGTAAGCATGGTGGTACATGCCTGTAATCCCAGCACTCGGGGAGGCAGAAGGATTGTAGGTTTGAGTCCAGCTGAATAATTTAGTGACTTAGCAAAACTCTGACTCAAAATAAGATATAAAAAGGGTTGAAGTTGTAGCTCAGTACAAGGATTCAATCCTTTGTCCCACCAAAAAAAAAAAAAAAAAAGAGAGAGGAAAAGAGAGAGAGAGAGATAGAGACAGAGCCAGAGAGACAGAGAGACAGAATGAGGAGCTTGGAACACACAGATCCTCTGGAGTCCATTTTTCAGATGGAGAGTGAGTGCAGGGCACATAACCATCCTGTTGTTCCTGGAGTAGATTATGGACCCTACTTTATACCATGAAAGGAATGTACTTGGGATGGTAGGAGGCCTTAGCTGAGGGAGGAACTAGAAGTTCCATTCCATTGACATTTTTTTGATCCCCAGCATGTGTGAGTCACAGAGCTGGAATAGTGAAAAGAGTCAAGCTGTGGCACACTGGGAACTGTAGAGTAAACTGGTACTGTTTACAGTGGAAAGAGAAAACCCTATGTGATACATGATTACTACCTAACTATTGGAAGGGCTGATTTGGAGAGAAAGGAGTAGAACTGCTCTGTGTTGGTCTGGGGGTGGCAATTTGAGGGGGAGGCATCACATGGCTCATGGGGTGGGGAGTGGGACTCAATGGAGTTATTGAGCTCTCAGGACAGGAGCTAAAGTCAGGTGCTGAAGGTGCTGAAGTCAGAGAAGACCATTTACCACCTCTGTGGTCCTTAGGAAATTTGCCCTTCTGAGCTTCAGTTCTTTCATCTATAAAATATAAGTAATAATAGCTATCTTGTAAGGTGGCTTGAAGATTCAGCGAGTTATGTAGTTGTCAAGCATTTGGAACTGTGCCTGGCACATGGTAAGTCATCAGTGAATGCTGGTATTATGATGCTGATGAGATAGGCATCCGGTCCACATGACACGTGTGACCCCTCACAAACCTAATACTTTAGCATACTGTTTTTTCCACACGGCTACCCCAAAGCTTTATTTTGAAATTCTGTCCATTACTTAAACCTATTATATCCCCAATGACTGAACCCTAAATGTGCTTTGACATATCTCTCTTATTCCCCTCTGTTCTTCCTTCTTGCACAAGGTTGGTCCAGAGGAATAGCTCTATCATTTCTATAGATCTGAAAAACAAAAGATATCTTTTCATTGCAGTGATGATGCTGGGAATAGGGCAAGTGTAGAAAAACACAAACCTGGAGGATTGCAGAGACCAGGAAGGAAGATAATTTCACTTTCTACTCACTTGCTTTAAATATGTTATGTGCTCAACTTAAAACACTAAAGAAGAAATAATGCTGGCCTGAAGTTGCTCAGTATCTAGTTGAAGAGAGAAAAATCATGATGTGCCTTGATATGTGCAATGATAGAGATAATGCTGAGCTAGAACCTTAAATCTCAGCCGTTAAAAACAACAAAGCTTTGTTTCTTGTTCTGCCACACACTTGTCACTAAAGGCATCGCAGTCACCAGGGACCAGGGTGGGTGGAATAACTGTTATTATAGATGCTGTCAATTGCTTTGCCAGATAGAATGTGGAGTCAAGCACATGCTGGCTTTGAAACTTTCTACCTGCAAGTGACACTCTCATTTCATTGGCCAACTTTCATGCACATTTCATTGGCCAAAGCCAATCACATTACCACATCTAACTCCAAATGACTAGAAACATGTTGACAAGGAGAGAAAAGGACAGTTGTGGCAGTCCTAACGAGTAACACAGAGAGCCCCCAAAGGGTGTTAGGAAGAGATGAACATACTGAGATTTGCCCAGAAAGATCAGTCTGGCTGCAGAAAAGATGGTTGTGAGACCAGGCAGAGAAATTATGCACATTGATTGTGTTATCAGCTTTGGCCACAGCTCAGTCTTGAGTCTTCATCTAAATGTAAAGATTCATTCCCTCCAAACTATCTTCTATAATTGTTTCTCATCTCTGGCTCACTTTAGTCACAGAGGAGCAAAGCAATTGATCACAGGTGATTAAGAATGTGAACTCAAATCTAGTCAAGTTTGATTATCTGTGTGCCTTGTGCATTTCCCCTGATGAGTGTCAAAAATTCTGTGCCAGAGTTTTCATGGCACCCATCCGCATAGCCCTGAGGCAAATTCATTTTAATAAGCAACAAAGACAAACATAATTAGAGAGGTAAGTTTGCCACCAAGCCCCTTGAAACAATGCACTACAAAGCTAAATGGAAAGAGCCTTTGACTCTGAATTATCTGCACTTCTGGTTTCCTCTGGTAGTATGGGTAACGGAGAATTAATGGTACTTCAAGAAAACCTTTGTTCTGATAAATTTACTGTTGAGGTCTCCATTTTTAGGACAGAAATGAGGGAAGAAATTTATTGGAGGAAAATATTTTCTGGAACTGGGAGCAAGAGAAGAGATTTAATACCCAAGAACCTATTAGCATGTTCCAGCCTGTCCTGAGCCTCCCTCCACCTTGACTGTCCCAGTGCCCAGAGGCCTCTTTAGCCTGATTAGGCTGGATTTCCTTTCAGGCTGCAGGATGAGGGTAGAGAAATCCCAGGTTGTTTGATCAAATTGCCTTTGTTAACTGGGAAGTTTGTTATTAAAAGGAACTTCCTACATAAAGGGATGGCAGCATCCCAAACAGGTGAAAGAAGGGAATTACAGGCTCCTTTTTCCTTGGCCTGTATGATGAATGTTGCTGCCAATAAACAGATGAATCCAAGTGGCTACTGCTGAAGCCCAGTTACTATAGGAATGATCAGCTCTTCGGGGACAGTAGGAATGTGGAGGGTTCTACAAATGCATTGAAACATTTCTGTCTCTACTTTTGGCAGTTATACACACACCTTTACATATACCCACAAATCTGTACATAAACATACATCTAGCATACTCTGTTTCAGGTAAGTTCTTTGCCATTGAATCTTCTGTGTATTATGGCTGAAATAGGCCAATAACTTTTCACTTTGGGAGGCAGTCACAGACCCCTTTGAAATCTAATGAAGGTGGTGGGTCCTCTTCCCAAAGAGAGAAATGTGTATGTGAACAAAAATTTTTTTTTGTACCGGGAATCGAACTCGGGACCTTGCACTTGCGAGGTAGGCGCCAGAACCACTGAGCTAAATCCCCGGCCCCAAACAAAATTTTTTTAGATACTTTCAAGAGATATAAGAGAATCCTAAAGCCTATCCATCAGTCCTCCCAATTTAATATTTCAAGAACATCATGACTTCTTTATTCATTCATTGAACAAAGAAAGGATCAGACATTGTGCTAGGGGCTGGGCGTATAGTGGTGAAGAAAACATAGATGGTTATGTGCCATCAAGTTTTCAGTAAAGAGATAGATGTTAAATACATCATCCCACAAATAAATGTGTAATTACAAACCCATAGTTTTATGTTAGAAGAGTAAGGGATGCTGTGACAGAGGGTAAACAAGGGCTAATTTAGATGAGGGAGAAAGATGGGTTACATTTTTCAGCTGGTAATCAACATTGAAGATTCATTGTTCATTCATTGATACTTACTGACAGTATATGAATTAACTCTATTATACCAAAAACCTTATAATTTAAATCAGTCCTAGGCACATGAGCTTATAAACTAAGATGCTTAGCTGTGCATTACCTGTTTTTTACATTTTGTTCCCCTATGTCTAGGGTTTACACACTGGTGAAAGACCCAACTGCAATAAGGGCAGCAATTACTGAATGTATTCATTTCTAGAGCATAACACAACATAACATAACACAACACCACAGCCTTCGTACCTTAAACTACAGAACTTTATTTTGTCACAGTTCTGGGTGCTTACAGCCCAAGATCAAAGTGTTGGCAGGACTGGTTTCTCTGGTGGCCTGTGTTCGTGACTCGCAGATGATGGCTTCCCACTGTGCCCTCATGTGGCCTTTTTTCTGTGAATATGGAGCATAAACACCCTGGTGTCTCCTTTTGTGTCTAAATCTCCTCATTTTATAGGACACTAGATTGGATCAGGGTTCACCCTCATGGCTCCATTTTAACTTAATTACCTCTTTAAAGACCCTATCTCAAATGCATTCTGAGGTACTAGGAGTTAGAGCTTCAATGTAGAAATTTGGGGAAGGGTATAATTCAGTCCATAGTAAAGAGAAATAATTGCATGTCATTAAAATCATGGAAAAGAAATCTGAAATTTCCTCAATTTTGTTTATGAATTGGTACCAATAAAGCTCACCAATTATTAACATACTGGGAGTGTGGGAGTAATACCCTACTCAGTATGTACATGAGCAAATCTGGAAGAAAAATGCTGAAATTGGTTGATCTTTGAATTTTTGTTATGTTTCTTTTCAATTTCTATTGAGGAGTTCTCTTCTTGTGATCAATAATAACCATAATGCTAATAACATCCACCTACTAAACCCAGTTTGGAAAATATCCTCTGGCTTCCTGCAGTAATTTAAAAAGCCAGGTTTCCACAGCTCTCTGAGGCCCTCCTTTTTCTTAGTTCTTCCTTTTGTTGGGAAAACATTTCTCATAAATTCTCCTTCCCCTGAGTGTGGCCTTCTCCTGTGATGAGAGTGTGAGCAGATGCAAGTGAGGCAGGTTGTAGTATGCAGAGAGCAGTTGTGCAGCCATCCACATTGTGGTTTTTCATGAGAAAGACACTCGAGTATGTACAAACATAACACAACCTTATTTACAATTTTAATTAGCCAGTTCTTTGGGAAAAAGTACATTGCTAATGGCTTCTGTCTAGAGTTTTAAAATATGAAATGGTATTCATTTTCTATTATTATGACTGTGAGGATTCACATTAGTGATAACAGTGTGCAGCTGGGTCATAGGAATCCTTTCTGCTCTGACATGCTTGATAGCTGCTTTAATCCTATTA